GTCGCGTGGGATCCGGTCATAAGCTTTTTCTAGGTCAACAAAACACATGTACACCGGACGGGCGTACTCGAACGATTTCTCTACAACCTGGCGCAGGGCAAATATATGGTCAGAGGTGCTTCGACCGGACCGGAAGCCACAATGCTCTTCTTGAATCTTGACGTCAACTATTTCACGGCACCTCCTTTCTAGCACCTTTGCGTAGACTGTACCTGGGAGGCTCAATAACGTAATGCCCCTCTAACTGGAGCACTCAGGTGTCTTCCTGCTTCAATACGGGTACAACAACTCCTGTTCTCCAGTCCGCTGGTGACAAGTTCCCTAATGCCTTAAGCACTTTAGGGTAGAGTTAATCAATTCCAGCAGTATTAGGGTTTTCACAGCAGTGTAATTTCATCTTCACAGATAGTAATATCCGTTCTATGATGCTCTACCGACGAGTCTTCCAGCAGCTGCTCGAGGTTAAGGAGTTCATCAAAGTACTCTATCCATCGCCGAAGAATGTGCTCATCTCTGATAAGAGGGTGTCCAGACCTGTGCTTCAAAACGCTGAGACTGCCCTTCTGTTAACCTGGGAGGCGGCGAATGGTATGCCAGAATACCTTATTTGCCGTGTGGAAATTCGACTCCAACACCTCACCGAACTTGTCCCATGAATCAGCTTTGGCTTTAGCAACTGCTTTCGCTGCCGCGCCTTGCGTGCTTCGATATATCGCACGCGAATGGAAGGAAGACTCTTTGTTTCCAAGCCATTTCTTGAGCGCTGCCTTCTTCTGTTTAAGTGTCAGTTGTACTTTCGTGACCACCAGGAAGATCCTTTCTGACCTCCAGGCAGCAAGCCAACCTGTTTAAATCCTCAGCAATCGGTGGCAGCATCGAGTATGCCGTTCTTAAAGAACTGCCACTCGGTTTCAACAACAGCTGTCATCACCGGGATCTGTTTAAACCACCGTACGATAATGTTAGCAAATTTCGCTTTTGAGTCCACCAAAGATAATGTGTCCCACTTGAGTCTCTGGTTGCTTCTGCCTTGAGATCTTCGTATGGTACTCCATTTCTTACAGCGTAGGGTGCCAACAACAAGGTGGTGATCGGTTGATAGCTCTGCACCTCTCTTAACGCGAACACCCATTGCTGTGCGTTTGAAGTCAGACGATAGATAATCAAATCGATCATCGACTTCGATGCACAAGCGTCCCGGTACCAGGTATACCGATGCACTCTTCGATGCTCGAAAAAGGCGTTTATAACGGACAGTCCGTTGTCTGCACAAAACCTCAACGAGTTCATGCCGTTGTTTTTGAGGTCGCTAGGGCCGTTTTTTAGTGTCTACTCCGAGATGCGCATTCAAATCGCCAATGAGTATGATGGATTCTGTATTCGCACTTCGTACAGAGCACACGCAATTCTTCAAGGAAGAAATCCTATTGTCCCTCTAAAATGGGCGCATAGACCTGCAACAAGATCACTGCTTTAGCCTGTTGTAGCTTCAGTCGGAGGATTACCACCCTTCCGCTGACAGGCTTCGAATCAATGATTCTATCTGCGAGGTTGGGTTTTTAGCAGAACACCAACACCGGCCA